AATGTTGAAAGTTTTAAAAGGTTTCAGTTTGCCTTCATGATTTGTGTGGTTTTCCCTTATTCCATCAACCATGACATTCCCCTTTTAAACCACATTTTTAGGATTTCTGTGGCTTTTAGAATTTCCTCACAAGCCTTTTTGATCCCCGAGCCAGGAAATATGGATTCAAAGAAGAAAAAAATGGGATTATAGACTAATATGGAAAACAGATTCGGCAGAATAAAGTATCGCCATCATAAATGCATAACCGCAGACCTGCAACATTAAGATTCCCACTGGTGAATCCGCAGGGATTGAGGAGATCGGAGACATCATGAAGCGTGTACAAAAGCTCTGAAGTGAATTATTGGCATTATTACTCTCACTGTGATGGTTTATGCGGCTTCTCCACATATGAGGAGTAATTAATAAGTAATGCGTTTTGTGAAGTATGCCTTGTCTGTGTTTGGGAATAATAAATCCAACTGCGGGTGGGTGAAAAAGTGATTTTCTATTGTGTTGCTTTGTTTTTCTGTTCCACATATGCCTTTTCCAGCTCACAGGGACTCTGATCAAAGTCTGATCACTGAGGATGGATTGCAAACATGGTTTAATGATTTCAAGCAGGCTTTGTTGAGTATGAATAGTCATAACTGTCTATAATTTTTGTTGTGGTGTGATTTACTCGTATAGAGCTTGCTCTAATTTATTTTCTACTCAAAATCAGGATATGTGCCGTAGTTGTAATTGCAGAGGAAGGTGCTTGTGGTTCACTCTGATTCATAAGAATGCTCATGTGGTTTATCTGGCAACCAGAGGTCAGACAGATCCCACATATTTATTTGTTTTTCATTGTTACGACTTGCACAGAGAGTTGAACTTGGGTTTTGAGCTTCAGATATGGGTTCATGTGCTGTCTTGCTCAAGTATGTATTGATCCTTGCACAGTACTTAACATGTTAAGAGAAGAGCTTCCAATCAAAGTGTTATTTTAGGTTTCTTTATATTCGGAATTAACTCGCGTACACACACACACACACACACAAACACACACACACACGCACACATTTTCATTTTTTTGTTTTAATTTTATGTGCTTTTGCCTTTTTTATATTGAAATAAGTGCTTATTCATTCATTCATTAATTTATTCATTCATTCCTTCATTCATTCATTCATTCATTTTCTTTTCGGCTTGGTCCCTTTATTAATCCAGGGTCACCATGGTTGAATGAACCGCCAACTTATCCAGCACAAATTTAACGCATTGGATGTCCTTCCAGCTGCCTTCCCCGCCCACTTCCAAACACTACTCCAGTCAGGCACACTAGCTCGCAAAATGGCTAGTAATGTTAATGTAATCCTCCTATAACCAACAGCGGGTCTGGCGCTTGGGAGCACTTTGGTTTCCCTGTAAGTTATGAGGGTGATTGCAAGAGAGTGGTGGAAAAAAACATCTGCTATGACAGTAAGTTATTTTAGTGGTAATATTTGGGCATGTCAACTTATTTACACTGACATCACGGAATCAGTAACTGGAATTAGACGAAAACTGGAAACATGCGCACTACGCACGTATCTCTGCACCATTCAGACAGGCAATTCCCACAGATTCGAACAGAGCAAAACAAATCACCAAGGCAATTGGTACATTTATAGCTGTGGATATGACCTTAATCGGTAGCAGAAATGTAGGGTTTTAGGGAAATGTTAAATGTAATAGAGCCCCGTTACATTATTCCTTCATAAGCCCATTTCAGTCAGATAATTCCTGCTTTTAAATCCACTAAAATGGCAAATACAGTCAAATCAAGCAGATCTGTGCTGTCTGAAGAAAAGGTGGACACTCATCTTCCTAAAAATAAAAAAATACTTAAAAATTGATTGAAACTGAGTTCCATAAAAAACTAAATTGTTTTTTTCTTTTTGTTTGTTTAACTACTACAATATTACATACATGTTTTATAAGCAGCTTTTGAGTAAAAAGAAGGATTTGTTTAATTAGCTGCTAAGCAGAAACCCCAGCTCTATCACTGTTTAAAGTAAAAGAAAAAAAAAAAACAAGATCATACTTTTATGATGTTAGTTTTAACACATTTACAAAAATTTAAATCAGAGAAATCCTCTGGCTTTTCTCTCTTTCTTTTTTTTTTTTTTTGCTGTTGACACCGTGTCATATCGAACCGAACCGTGATTTTTGTGAATTGTTAACTCCAAATCTAATATAAACTAACAGAAATAAGACAAATAAATCATATTTACACTTCATATATGTATCATATTTATACTCCAGTACAAGTACAAATATGAAATGGGAAATACTGTAAAAATGTCCTTGCTCTGTTATCAATCAACAAGATATTTTAAAAAAAGAACAGAAATTTCATGAGTGGTAATCATTTTGTCATATGTATTAACCATATATATATTGTTGGATATAAAGTTTTACACGCACACACACAGATATTATAAACTTATTTAAACATATAATAAAAATGTATGTTGTTTTAATCACTGTATATTACATTCAAAGTAAGCTTTTTTTTTTTTTTTTTTTTTGTAAAGCACATTTTTTGAATAACAACTGGGATGGAGCTGTGGTTAAATATTTCCAGCTTTCCATAAAATAAATCACAGGAAAGCCTGGATTCCCCTGCTCTCCCTGTATAACTTTGTTCTCAGAACAAAGTTCTCACTTTTGAAAGCAATTGGGCCAAAACGTCACTTTAAAAGAGGTTAAAGAAGGTTTTTAGTAACTTGCCCCGATCTTGAAAAGTAAACTGAGCTCACATCTTTGTTGTATCTTTTCAGTCCAGACCAAAAAATATGATGTAAAGCAGATCTGACTGATTCAATTTAGTGAATGTTTGTGATGGGAGAGCGAGTCTGCCCACGTGCTGGAGCTCCAGGGCAGCTCTGTTGTGTTGGTGAGTATGAAGTGCTGATGAGGCATTTTACTGCTGTTGACCTTGTGATACAGTCCAAATACAGCTTTACTCTGTTAGCCTAGAATTTGCTGATTGTAAGGGTGTTTTCACACTTGGTTCAATCGTTGGGTCTGAAGGTAAACTCCAGTTTTATCTGGGATTAAGATACGTTTTAGTCGATCAGATCACGAGAAGATGTTGTAGACACATTTCTATCTTCAATTTGAGGTTTTCTATGTCTTATAACTCTTCTTTTAACCCCTTTTCTAGAGGGCAAGTGTGTGTATGTATAGGCTTTTTCTAATCTTTGAGTCAATGTTGTGATATTAGTTTGTACAATTCAAACAAACTCTACATTTGGAAAGAAATTCTGCAAATTTTAGTGTACAGTAAAAATGTAGTGCAAGTAAAAATATGCAACTTATCTTTTCCTTCTTCTTCTATTGAGTTCGTAATACAGCTATCACATTTTAACATGTGAATATATTAAATTAATGAATAAAATCATTCAGACATTTTCCAAAAAAAAAAAAAAAAAACAACAACAGCACATTATATATATATAAAATTAACTGCTGGATTCATTTATTTTTAACCTAAAACTTTATTAAGGTTTATGTAAAAATTTCACCAGTAAACTAAACTTAAAATTATAGATGACAAATGTGAAATCCCATGCGACTAGTGCACTTCAACAAAGTTTTCATGAATTGTACCCCAGACCATCCTGTGTTTCCTTTTAGTGTTTTTAGAAAGATCTTGTTTTAGTTCGGAAAGTGGTATTCCATTTTAAGTGTAGATGGACTGAAATGCAAATATATTAAAAAAAAATGAGTCATGGCTATCCACAATCACACTCTGGACTATTATACATTAGCTACGTTTTCATCCACCATTTTGGATATGCGCATACAAGAAATCAGTTGATGGAAATGCCAAAATGCGCATACGTTTTGAAAATGTGCTTAACTGAGTAGATGAGTAGAATAAACTTTTTATTCAATAAGAAAAGATGCTCTTAAACAGTGATTCAAACGTACAAATTCCAGTACGTGCATTAAAAAAGGTCATGTGATTTAGTTATAAGAGATCATGTGATGATAAATATGTGTGTGAATAAACAAACCAGCAGGGTGATCACATTGTAAAACATCTGAAATGTTGTTTTCGTCATTCTAAAATGCCTTACCTGTTTCAATATTTGTGTTATTATATTATTAATTACCTCCAGAACTGTGCTTCGCGTCTCACACCTCAACATCACCATGCGTTCACTGCGTGTCAGGAGAGTCTTCTGAGGCGCAAGTCATTTATTAAATAAAGATTCACGCAGCTTCTCTTACTGCAGCAAATTCTATCTTTACTGTTGATATTTGGTGCCAGTTAATCAGGACGTGACAATTTTGTTCTCTTTAACTCATTGGATGGAAACGCTGCTTTGCTTGCATGTCTTATATGCGATATTCCAGTTTGAGCAGAAAGTTAATTGGCATTTTTGGATGAAAACATTGTTCCCTGATTTGTCAAGCCCATCATATTTGACCATTAAGCAACTGGTAGACAGCAAGTACATGCAGACAACCTATGCCAGAAGTGTCCAACCCTATTCCTGGAGATCTACCTTCAGGCATGTATTAGTTGCAACCCATAACAAACACACCTGCCTGTAATTATCAAGAACTGTTCAGGTCCTAATTAACTGTTTCAGGTGTGTTTGATCAGGTCTGGGGCTGAACTCTGCAGGAAGGTAGATCTCCAGGAACAAGGTTGAGCACCCCTGATCTATGCGGATGCTCAGTGAGCATTAATGGTCATGTAGAGTGTCATGCATTTTAAGCTGTTTGTTGCATGGAGAAAGTTTTTTAGGAACACATCAAAAACTGGATAAGGAGTATTTTCATTCTAAAACACATTTCCAAACAATTTTTTTTTTTTTTTTGCAGGTCGAAGATGCCAGGGCAGTGTGAAAGGCAAGTGTAACAGCAACAAAATATGCCTTTAAATTAAAAACTCAGTGTAAATGGCATCTAAAACCAAAGTGTTAGGCTGAAATCCCCCTAAAGACATCCAAATGAAAGGTGTTTTCCTTTAAAACTCTTTTTTTTTCTTTTTTATTCAGATGCAGAATTTACAGTGACAGTAGTTAAAAGGTGATTGTTAAAAAACATTAAAGTACACATACAGTACAGCACAGCGATCAACTGAGGCTTCTTTTTTTTCTTCCATTCTGTGTTTGTCCAACAACGCAACACAAAGGTCAGTGCTGACCTGCAAACAGTCCTGGAAATGCGTTCTGGCTCTCTGTCTTTTTTTCTTCTAACTCAATGCTCGTGAAAGAACAACTCCAGAGCCTTTGTTTAATAAAAAACAGTTTGTTTAAAATTATGTAACACTTGAAACTCCTGTGTTATTCCTAAATCTCTCATGTCCGCCCCTTGAATGTATTCATGCAGGTGTAGGTTCCTGAGAATCTGTGGATTTCCTCCAGTGCACTCTGTGGTAGCATGCTAAAGTAAAGCCAGAAAAGATCATGAATGAGAGTTGCATATTTGCATAATGTATTCAGATCTAAAATGAAACTGTATTTGAAAATTATAACACTGTACCTTTTGAGGATAACGAGTGCGTTCATGGTCCAGGGTAAGTAAACAAAGGCTGTATTTGTCCGAACAGCATCCACTGTTCTCTGTGCTACAACCTCTGGCTTTAGAGGAGGAAAAAGTTGCGGAAACCTGTATAAAAAAAAACAAACAAACAAAAAAAAAAATTCATTTAAAACCGCCTGTAGTTGCACAATACCGTAAGACACTCTAGACCATTGCCGTCTATGGAGGATTAGAGAGCTCTCGGATTTCATCTAATATATCTTAACGTGTGTTCTGAAGATTAATGAATGTCTCATCCATTAAGGCCCTGCTTATATTTGGTATCAAGATGCATTTTGGTTGACAAATAGACAAAGAATACACATTCATGTTTACACCTCCTGCTTTAATCTCTATCTTTCCACTTTCTAGATTTCTTTTTAAGATTGGTATATATACAGTATGGGTAGATCTTATGGGTCGATTTTTGCCCCATCTTTCTAATATAGCAAAATTAATTTATCAATGTACATATGAATGTGCAAGGAAATAAAAATTATAAGGAGCTTCTGATAGCTACAAAACTTTGCCAAATATTCTGGGTTTCAGTTAGAATCAGGAATGGTTAGAGAACATTGTGCTTTTTCTGTGTGTTTGTTTTTTCTTTCGAACCAAGCCTATGATTTCACACAGCAAAGTTTAAGTTCTATTTGGCTTTCGTGATTCACCAACACAACTGTTTAAAAACATTGTCAGAAGGTGGAAAGGAGGCAGACTTGTGTGGTTGCTTGAATGCACCTAAACTTATCCATGTCATGTCAAGCAATCCAGTCGAATGTGTTTGCAATGTCTTCTGGAAGTAGTCAAAAGAATTGTAACCACTTGCACAGGTCTTTAGTGTAGTACTAGTGATTGGATTGAGAAAAATGTGTATTTATATATCATCACCTTGAAATTTTAAGGTTCTATCTGTGTTCTGAATGATTTTGAGATATTGAGCTTCAAAGTTGTTTTATTTCATATTGCAAACAGTATGCGTGTAACATTTGTTTCATTCATTCATTTTCTTTTCGGCTTAGTCCCTTTATTAATCTGGGGTCGCCATAGCGGAATTAACTGCCAACTTATCCAGCATGTTTTACGCAGCGGATGCCCTTCCAGCCGCAACCCGTCCCTGGGAAACATCCACACACAGTCATTCACTACGGACAATTTAGCTTACCCAATTCACCTATATTGCATGTCTTTGGACTGTGGGGGAAACCGGAGCACCCAGAGGAAACCCACGCGAACGCAGGTAGAACATGCAAACTCCACACAAAAATGCCAACTGACCCAGCCGAGGCTCGAACCAGGGACTTCTTGCTGTGAGGCGACAGCACTACCTACTGTGCCACTGTGTGGCCCGTAACATTTTTTTTTTTTTTAAATCAAAAGTCTTAAAATGTAACCATTTTATAAAAACATCCTATAATGTAAATAAGTTGTCAATTAATAAGAATATGTCAATAGCTCAATTTTGACAAAAATGTCAGATGAAACCTTATAATTCTAAGGTGACTAGGTGTAAACAAGACCGATAAGAAAAATACACAGTTTTGGTTAAATATATTGCAGACCTTATTTTACTTATTAATTGAAATACTTCATCATAAGCCATAGAAACAAACATATATATATATATATATATATATATATATATATATATATATATATATATATATATATATATATATATATATATATATATATATATATATATAGTGGCAAATTGATCTTCTGTGTTTGTTGCTTTTGTCCCAGGACTAATCCATAATCCATTGGGAATGATTGGATCATGGCAAAATGGAGCCAGATCAAATGAGTTTGCGAAAACAACTAGCTTATTAGCTATCTGCTTATTGATTGATACTATACCAAAAAAGAGTTTTTTGATGTAAAGTGAGTGTGTGTTTGGATAAAATGTTATGAGAAAATAGTTTTTGCGCTTATAATTTATTCAAAAAAAGCATCTCAACTAGGGCTGCACAATATACCGTTTCAGCATTGACATCGCAATATGCACATTTGCAATAGTCACATTGCAAAATATGCAATGATGAGTCTGAAGTATACTTGAGCAGGAGTTACAGAATTTTATTGAATCACAGTATTTATATGGAATTTATATGATTTATACAAAATAAATCTCTTACTTAGAATTGTTGTCTTGTTTCTAGTCCAAATATCTACATTTCAAAGCAAAAACAAGTATTTTACTTACCCCGCTGGCAGATATTTTAGCTTGTTTTAGGAAAAAAAACTCTTAATTTGGCCATATTTCTTCTGACGATGAACACAAAGCTTTATTTTTACTTGAACAATTTTTTTTTCTTATTTGGACTAAGATACGAGACAAAAATAAGAAAATATTTTTTTTGTATTGTGATTATTAAATTTCTGTACCTGAATACCGTTAGACTCCCCAGAAAACCATCAAACAGAGCTATTCAAAATATCTTGTGAAACTGCATTCATATCGCAATATTTAATCGCAGAAAAGGCGACGCAGTGGCACAGTAGGTAGTGCCGTCACCTTACAGCCCGAAGGTCTCTAGTTCATGCCTTGGCTGGGTCAGTTGGCGATTCTGTGTGGAGTTTGCATGTTCTCCCTGCGCTCGTGTGGGTTTCCTCCGGGTGCTCCGGTTTCCCCCACAGTCCAAAGACATGCTGTACAGGTAAATTGGGTAGGCTAAATTGTCCATAGTGTATGAGTGTGTGTGGATGGTTCCCAGATATGGGTTGTGGCTGGAAGGGCATCCGCTGTGTAAAAATGTGCTGGATAAGTTGGCGGTTCATTCCGCTGTGGCGACCCCGGATTAATAAAGGGACTAAGCCAAAAAGAAAATGAATGACTGAATAATCGCAGAAAAATGTTATATCGCAATATCAGAATTTTCCAATATCATGCAGCCCTAAACTCAACCATGCATTAACAAAGCATACACAGTCAATTTTAATGCCTCATTGAAATAATAGTCCTTATATTGACTGTCTAACCCACTGGAAACCTTTAATATGACTTTCTGCCAATTGAAGCCGGATAATCGGGAGAAAATCTAGGGTGGGATTTGAGCCATCTAGAATTTGCAGGACTGTGGAAAATCTGTTGAGTGTCTGTGTGTTTCCTAGGACTTAAAACATGATCTCACCTCACTCTCATGCCCTGAAACATTTCAGTGTTGGTGTGGAACGGGAGGACGGTGGTGCAGGCCACACCTGGACAGTCCAGCAGCCCCAGAGTCAAGCTCTCCATGAAGGCCAGTGAAGAAGCTTTAGATGTACAGTAATCTATAGCACCGGGGATGGGGGACAGTGACAGGATGGAGTTGACACACACAACATGGCCATTTTGGAGTTCCAGCATACGAGGCAGGAAGGCTTTCGTGGTCTGTAGACGAAAGTATTAATAAAAGGTGAGTTCAGCTACTGGAATTAGGAAGCTGGAAAGCAATGATGAAAGTTGTTAGTTATTCTATGTAATGTATGTAAAATATGTTTATACTATACTATGAAATGTTTAATATCTCATATAAATGTGTTCTTGAGGTGCTTTTATATCATTGGATTGTTTTAGTGTGCAAAAAGGCACTTGACTATTGTTTGTTTTAGCAAAAGCAGATTGGTATTGTATTTTCTTTATATATAATTTAATATAATTTTTGTTTTAAATTTTTTTCTAGCAATGTTTTTGACTTAACTCTATAACAATTTTAATAATAGTTATTATATAGTAATTATATAAAAATAAGCTGAACACTTATTTATATCAGTTGATAAGAAATGATCATATTAAATTAAAACTGAAATAGCATAAGCTAAAACTAACAGGAAAAAAACAAATAGTGAATCATACCATATATATATATATATATATATATATATATATATTCATTTTAACTAGAGCACCACATTTCTGTACTTACCCAAAACTGTCCCATTGTATTGATGTGTTGCGACTTGAGAAGAGCATCATCATCACTGTCCAGCAAACTCTTGCCATGCACCACTGCAGCATTATTAACCAGAATGGTCACATCTCCCACCTAGCATAAAAATAAAAGACCCACTATTAGTTATTCTCCTTTCCATAACAGATTATTTGTTCTCTTTTTTTACAGCCAGTCAGTGTCGCCATACCGCTGGTTCTTATCTAACCCAGACATTTTAAGTGAGCTATAATCTCTACTCAGGCTATGGGGGTGGAAGGCAAAACAGCTGTGATAAAGCCAGCACTCGGGTTATTAGAGGTTAGAGCCAACTGCATTATTTATAATTAGAAGTGTGCACTGAGTTTGAAATTCTTTTCCAAAATGTTTAAAAATTTTAAAATATATATATAATTTTGTGTCGGTCACATTTACACACTGCCTCAGAAACCTGTTCATAATAAAAAAGAAAATAATTATCTGCACTTTGAGCATTTGAAGAGGTGTTTTAACAATTACCACCATTCAAGTGAATGACAACATCCACATCTGATATGATCCATCTTCCACCAAATTTATCCCCCTCCTCTCTTTTTTTAGAAGAGAAAGTGTAACATAAAGATCCTCTACACTTGATCAAAACGGTAAACAAGGCAAGAATCAAAACACAGGAAAACAAACAGAGAGAATGCCTCGTAAAGTTTGTGTAAGAAACTTGGCAATGTGTGAATGAAGGTGAGATGTACGTATTTATGTCCAGATCCGATCATGTGATCGGAAATTGGGCCCGATTATGCAGTTTCAGACTTGATCAGAATCGGACGCTATACCTCCAGACTCAAAAAAAAAAAAACACAAAAAAGAATTTTATCTATCTATCTATCTATCTATCTATCTATCTATCTATCTATCTATCTATCTATCTATCTATCTATCTATCTATCTATCTATCTATCTATCTATCTATCTATCTATCTATCTATCTATCTATCTATCTATCTATCTATCTATCTATCTATCTATCTATCTATCTATCTATCTATCTATAATCATTATTTTTTAACACATCTATAGTTATGCGGAGTCACAGAGTTTTCTTGACTACACAGAAACAGCAACGCGTGCAGCATGACATAACTTTGTCGCAGAGATGCTATTGGTTAAATGTCGACAAAGTATAACACAGAAGCATCTGGAAGCAGAAAGCATGAGTATGTCTGTGGTTTGGAGGTATGATAAAGTTGAATGCGACAACATTGCCATGCAAACTGTGAGATGTGGAAACTTGGAATTGCCTCCCGGGAATTTTAAGTTGAGGTTCTTTTTTTTTTTTTTTAATTTGTTTTTATATTATATTTGAAAAATATTTACTGTTCTACTAAAGTCCAAGGATAAGGAATTGATGGTATTAATTACTTGATTGTTTAAGCTACCTCACAGACGTGATCTGTTTGTTAACAGAGTTGTTAAATGTTAAAATAAAGTGAATTACATAAAAAACAAGGAACATCCTGAATCTGTTTCTTAGCTCTTCTTTATTCTTTTTTATGTATTATAGAAGTATCGGATCGGGTTTCAGTATCGATAGATACTCAAAATCAAATGAATAAGACTCAAGGGCAAAAAACAAAACAAAAACTAACTGATCGAAACATCCCTAGTACTTATAGTCCTTGTAATCAGTGAATCATGAGCTACAGCTGTGAATGTGTGTGAATGTCTAGATTATTGTCAGCTGCTGTAGGAGTTGATGAGTGCACAGAGTTCTGGGGGTTGTAGTTCATTCGGAAGTAATCTCCAATAGAGAAAACATTGTTGGCGATTAGAATAGACTACAGAAAGTAATTGCCACCTGAGACAACACCACTGGCGATCACAACAACATACACACACGCACATACAAACACATACCAAAAAAAGTCAGACAAAGTTTTTTAAAGAAATATTTCACCACAAAATGAAGATGTACACACAATTTACTCATTCTCCAGTGACTACAAACGTATGGTAATGTTTTTTCTGTTGAACGTAAAAGAGAGATGGTAAGTTGGTAATCAGTAGCCACTGACATAGAAAAAAATACTATACTATACAATACCACAAACATTCCTCAAAATATCTTCTTTTGTGTTCAACAGAAGAAAACTCAAACACTGTTGGAACCATTTGAAGGAAAAATAAATACTAACAGAATTCATTTTTATTTTGAGTGAACTATCAATTTAATCAGATAACTCAGAGTATGATATTATGGTGCATATTGTACCTTTTCTCTGACAACCTTGGCTTGCTTGTAGACTTCTTCCCTGTTGGCCACATCGCAAACGAAATAATGGCACTCTGTCCCCATGAGGGTGATCTCCTCACAAGTCTCCTTCAGACATTTTTCCGTCCGGCCCCACAGAATTAGCTGTTAAGAAAAAAGGTGGAACAAAATATAAAACTAGCCAGATATATGTAATACTGGCCATGCATCATCTTTCCAGAAAGCTAAAGCAAAATACGTCACCGCTCAAGTCTTTAGTCCTGTCTCAAAGTAGATTTAATTTGTCAGTTGTTGTGTTTTAACGGTCTTTGCTAATTTATCATGACTTGTATTCTTCATTGTGGGTGTTTACTTGTAAACACAAGAGACTGTGTGACCTACAATTCTAGCCAAATGTTTGACACGAAAAGCATGAGTCAGAAGATAATCTGTTTTTGCATTTTTGTATGTCCTTTTTAAATGAAAAACATTTCCTTGGAATGATAAATGAACAGTTCTGATCTTTGATTACACAATCGGGTCGATTCAGTGTAAGTACCATGTTTATGAGATTATAACTTGTAAAGAGCATTTGCGTCTAGGGCTGGCCGATAAACAGTATTATATTGAATCGTGACAAAATTGATGTCAATAACTTTTTAAATAAATTCTGGACTTTTTGTTTTTACTCTATATTGACCCAAAAGCCAATCACACTTTAGAAATGTAAAACAATGGGAATCTAAAAATGTGTTAATATTAGAGATGTACCGAATCGAACCACTGAAAACTTATCGGCTGAAAATGTTGTACCGTTTAATAGACCCTCTAATTTTTGTTGCTTCAGTCATTGTTGGGGTACTCTTTTTAAATCTGTAAGCATTAACTACTTTTATCTGAATATATATATATATATATATATATATATATATATATATATATATATATGTCGGTATTGTTCAGTATGGAAAATAATTATCGAGATTGCATTTTTGCCATATCACTAGCCCAATTTGCATCCTTTTAGGACTGATTACAACTTATAAATGTGATTTGTGGACAAAAAAACAGTACGACTTGTACCATGTGACCACTGTTTAGTCATATTCATTTAGGTGCTTGTTTGGACTAATTCCTTTTTAATTCTAATTACTAGTCAATTCCAAACCACTCCAAAACAAACATAACAAATCCTATCATCTGAAAATGAATGTTAATTACATCATAAACAAAGTATTAATGGATCAATGCGACTGTATGGCTCTATTGTATTTCAGTAAAATTAACTATTCATTATTTAAATAAAGCTTAGTAACTTTAAAGCTGCCCTAAATTGTCATATGTTCAAAATTCACTGTAAACCAATGTGTTGTGTATCATTGGTTTATTTAATGCCAGTTTAACAACACATATTCATATGAAGAATAGTAGTAAGCATTGTAAGAACAGAAGCAAGAGTGAGGCTGTTTGTTAAGAGAGAAGGATTAAGAGAGATGACTGTGTGAATGGATTGGCTGGGACAGAGAACATGGGGGGCAGTGATTGGTCAATTAGATTTGTCAGTCTGAGAGGTCAAGGAAAGGTAATGAAATCAGTGATGCTGCCTCATCATCTCTCGCAGACAAATTCTCATAGAGATTACACAGCCTGCTGGGCATACGGACCCAGCCATTTTCTGCTTCAACAGCCTCATGATAATGTGTGTGTATGTGTGTGCGGGGATCCATTTGGCCGCAGAAGTTAGCCTAATAAGAGAAAACCACCCTTTGAGCATATCCTCATTTGGAGACATTATTTGTAAACAGATTTGTATTTATTATTTTAGCTCAACTGTGGTTTGTTTACATCAGTATTATATTGGTTTATTAATGTGTGGGTCAAAAAAGACGTTTTTTTAAAGCATCACAACAATAAAAATGTAATGCAGCTTTAAATTTAATGTTTTTAATATACATTAAAATATATCCTGTTTACATGTTTAACCTTATTGATTATATGACTATTACACATTTTGAATGATTTACAGAATATATACAATACATTTTATGGCAAAAATATCATCACGCATATTTAAAACTAGAATCTTTTTAAATAAGTATTTCAACAATATTTTGACATTTCATTTTCACAAAGTTATTTGAAACATTAAACAATTTGCTTGCAATTAATATCTAATCTACATTTATAGTCACGTTTCTAAATTTTATTTGATACAAGCACCAAATCTCTTGATTGTAATTTTATTTAACAATATAAACTAGTCAACTCTAGTCATGTAATTACTAAACTGATATAAAATTAAAGTTTGCTATATTGTTCATATCCTGATTTCTGAAGCAAATATACGTCCAAATGTCCATCACAAACTAGTGAGAGCAAATATTTTAATACTTTATAATAATGGCTAGGGATTCAACGGTTTACCAGTTTCGCTTTTTTATTATTATTATTTCTAAGAGGGTTTTACCTTTATTTGATAGGATAGTAGTGAATTGACAGGAAAGCATGGGAGCAGAGAGAGGGGAAGGATCGACATAAGACCACGAGGCAGAATCGAACTCTGGTTGCCGCAAGCACCGGAGTGCATGTGTCCACGCACTAACCACTACACCACTGGCGCCGACAACCAATTTCACTATTAACCACACTTTAATTCGTCATGCTTAAATAATTGTAAAAGCTTCTCAACACCGTGTTTCTGCATGGAACAAAACACTAAACAAAATTATCCTAACTATTCACTAGTTTAAAGTTCTGAGCTTGTACACAGAGGCGAATATCCACACACACTGGAATAAAGGCTGATTTTAACTATGGTTGAGGCTATTGACTAAGGGCTGTTCACATGTCCTGTCTTTTGCGCTCGTAAGTTCTTTATTTCCAATGGAGGCGCACCGCTTGCGCACACACATATGGGCAGTGACGCGCATGCGACGAGCTCACGATATCCAGGTGCACCTAGTTGTTTACTGAGCAGCAAAAAACGACACTTTAAAGTAGGGCTGCACAAAAAATCTGACATTGCAATATTTTGTTTTGCTGCGATTTAAAATGTGATATGAAAACAGTTCAACCAGATGGCTTAAATAGCTTTATTTTTGAAAAATATTTTCTTTATATTGGTTGGATTGATTTTGAAGGATGTGAATCATGTATAAAAAAAAAATAAAATTGCAAGAATAATTACAATAGAGTAAACAAAAAAGTAAATAAACAGTTCTTTATGGTTTTCTGGAGAGTCAAGCAGTATTTAATATAGAAATATGGTGATGTAAAATAACACTGTATAGTCTTTATTGCATTAATAAATCAGTAAAAAAAAATCTTTATTAAAGTGTCAAATGTTTTAAGTTATTGTGCCCAAATGCTTTACACTTTCTTGAAATGGGGATATTCATGCTGAAACGATATTGTGCAGCCCTACTTTAAAGTTTTATGAAATTTCATGTGGTTTACTGCACTAATGGTGTTTTGAATGCATAATAATTGTGATAAACATTATTATTCCTCAGACTATAATCATACAATCAAAATCTATAATCGTTGAATCCCAAATTATGGCCAGTAATAGCCATGCCCACTAATAAGGTTGATTACTTCTGCATAAAGCTCACGCGTATGCTCCGGCTCAGCCTACGTGTAGCTCTCGACGTGTCTGTCGGCGATGCTGATGCGCACCTTTAAAAAATGTAACTACTGTTGCAAACAATGCGTAGCGCAAGCACTGTGATTGGTCGGCTTGGTAACGTAGACTTACCATTTTCCGTACACTTTCTGTAAACTTACTCTTTCAGTAGTTTTTGAGAAAAGGGGGAAAAGTACTGCCTCCACATGTGTACGGAATATTAAAGGTATTAACAATGTTCCGTACACGATTAAAATAGTGTTACGTACATGGCGCATAACTTTAATTCACCGGCAAAAATGGTCATTAGTTGAAGAAAAAATCATGTCAGTATATACTGTTATTGTGTGTAAATGTGCTTGAAGTTAATGTTATATTTAATATCTTTTTATGAAAGATTGCAATAAAAGAACCTTACAATCATTTAAGTTTTAGATCTTGCTTATTTTATTACACAGTGGCAATTTAAAATATTAAACAAGTTAGCGCTAACTTAACTGACCTTTTATGAATATAAACATCATCAATGCACAAAGATGATGGGCAAATAGCATTTAAAGCCTGTCTTTCAGGCTCTCTGTGGCAGATTTGCGTCGGGGTTATCATCACTCACAAATGACGTTTAAATATCCCCATTTCAAAACATTTATAAAAAAAGTGTCACATCCCCAGTCTGATCACGCTGTCTTCTTGTGTATGTTTGTTTACATGTCACGAGCGCACGTGAATGTTGTTTTGATCTGTCACCTCGTGTTTACCTAAGGCATCCCTCCCCCTTGTTACCCAATCTTTCTATTTACATAATTGATTCCACTCACCTGCAGTCCATGAGTAGCTCTCCTTCTGCTCTATTTATTCCCCGTGTGTGTGTTGTCTTGTGCTAGATCGTTAATTGCGAGTGCGCTTACGCTCAGCCACTCGTGTCGTGTCCTGTCCTGTCCTGTCTTGTTCTCTCTCTTCCTCTCTCTCTCTGCGCTATCCAGTGGGATTTCCGTGTCGCTGCAACGCCAGGTCCTTACATCCAGTGTTGGGTCTATTTCCTCATCTCCTTCTATTCCAGACCGGACTTCCTCTCGCTCTCGGAGCCCGCCGGCCTTCTCCATAACACCGGCTTCCTCTCTCTCTCACTCGCTGCTCAGCATCCCCCACATGTCCGCCTCATCGAGCGCCCCCTGCCGGGTATAGTTGAGAAGGCAACTGAATTTCTGTTATTTTTGTGTGACTTTATTCCGGCTGTTTTGTTGTTTTTTTTCTTGTCTGAGGTTCACGAAGGGGACGACCTCCACTGGAGATATTTGTGCCAGGACTGTTGTCAGTTGCAGACAGCCCAGATACCTTTTTGTTCCGCTTTTTCCCTCCTGGCTGGATTTTTTTGGATCTTTTTCTAAAAAGATATTTTGTTTGGATATTGAAAATAAATTCCCCTTATTCTCTCAAGCCTGCATTTGTGTCTCTTTAAGAACCCTGACAGAACGATCTAGCCGCTATGGACACAGCAGGCTCAGATTCCGTCCGAACCGCCGTTACACAGCAGGGAGCG